GAAGGTGGAGAGCCATGCATAAAGAAGTCCAATGAAATCCCTTCACTTGGAGAGCCCACACTGATGCAGTCCACTTCAATGACGCTCTTTGCAGTTGTTCCCACAACAGTGTGATCACAGTGTCCTTTCATTTAAGCAGCAGTGATTCTTCTCAAGTTCATCATCTTAATCACCATGAACATGTTGTATTGAGAAGATGCATGATAATCAAAGATCTAATCTCATAAAGCAAATGTGTAGTGTTTCTCCTTACTAAAGGCGTAACCCTAATTCTCTTTGAATGCGGGTACTTATAGATCCGTCGATAAAACACTCCTTCTATAGACGTCTTTGATTGTAGATGGTAGGACAATATTTGAAGAATGTAATCTTAAAGATTTGGTCCATACCTTTCCAAAGCAGATATGCTGATCTTCCTTCCAAATCTGTCTTCAGTAAACTGCGTACAGCTTTTAAGTAAACACCTTCTTAAATCAGATCTTCAGTGTCAGTCCTTCTGTTGTTGCTTCTGATTGATCAGTCATCTGTAAAGTTGGACGGACACAAGCTAAACCTATCTTAGTATGCCATAATAATATTGCCAATTATAAGATGGGGTTTTTGAACAGTTAAAAACACTAACACCAACAATATAATACACGTGAAATATCATACATAGATAAGATATAAGTTCGTAAAGCCATTTTCGAAACGCGATACATATATATAAGTTCAACACCAAGAGTAATAGTCAACACAAGACTCAAACACTCTCAACAAGAACACGGGAACACATCCCAAGACTACAAAGAACAACAACGACTCACAAGAAGTCTCAAGGCATAATATATCATCACACAATAGATTAACACCTGACATGCATGATACAAGAGATTAAGGACACACTCAATGGCAACGCATGCCAAGGCAACACATGCCTTTGTGACTACACACGTCACAAGAAGAGAACTCACAACAACAGCTACACAAGCCCTCGTGACATCACCCATCGCGAGTTGATATGCCTTCCTTATGCCCGGTTCCAACCTTATGGCTACCCCCAACCTTATTTCTAGTTCCAACCGTTACCTCTAGGACCCCTGTACAACCAAGTCCAACCTTTTCCCTCCGAAGACCGTCGTCCCCATCCGCCAACGACCGCCAACAAAACCACCAATTTCATAGTACACGAAGGTACCGATCACACACACGGCAACACATGCCTCGGCAACACGCCTCCCAAGAAATACGTGAACCCGACACACAGGTCACAAACTCCATATTCACGTCATGGCCACCACGAGGACCACTACTGTACCTTGGTGATTAAGGCCCCATAAACCGAAATCGTGCAATCCAAGTACAGCCACACACACATCACACCTCCACAGGAATCAATCAACGGATCACAACGAAGATATGAAACCATACTCAATCAAGGAATGGATCACAGTCCAACAACAACGACGAATAACACAAGTCATCATCAACATTAGGAAGGTATGAACAACACACCCGCTAGCAATTAAACACCGAACTAGCAAGGTTATCAAATGGGTAAACCAAAAGTAGTTCCGAAGAACACACAAGACTCATCACGGTTCAACGAATCAAAATGTTGAACACTTAGCACGATTCAAGACACCAAAAACCTACATGGATTCCTACCATATAGTTCTAGACATACGAAATATCAAGAAGACGCTCAAATAGTTCCATAAAAGAACATCGGGAAGTCAAAAGACCAAATACCGAGTCAAAAGAATCACGGGGAACAAATCCCGAATACACACCAAGGTGTACCCCGCGGGTGGACCCACAGGTAGGCCCCTACCCGTGGTTCCGCCCGCAGGTACATACCCACCAGCCACTTGTACCCCGCGGGTGGGCGGCGGGTGGACCCCTACCCGTCGTTCCGCCCGCGTGTACGTATACACCTGCACAAAATAATCCCTTCGGGGATTTTCAACTCCAAGCTCAAATTCAAGTCCAAAACATGCCAAATCTCACCAAATACAACCAAAATGACTTGAATCAAATGAATAGCCAAGCAATGGCATAAATGAACCCTAAACACAAGCTCTAGATATGCATTTTCACAAGACAATGCATAAACACTCACATTTCATAGCAAAATCGAATGTAGAATCCAAGAATCATCATATAGGTAAGCAAAATAGATTTTGTAGAGCATGGGTTACCTCTTGAAGACAAAAACCTTCAATTAACACCTCACCAAGCTCCTAACAAAGCTCTCCTTCCAAACCCACTTCAAGAACACACCAAAAGATCACAAAGATTCTATCATTAAGAAAAGACACCTTAGAAAACACTAAAAACACAAGATGAACATGGATCTTACCCTCCTAAATGCCTAAATGTATGAAAGGTAGAATCTTGGAAACAACTCTTGAAGTTTTGACAAAGCTTCAACTTGGCTTGGAAGAAAAGCTATCTACCTTTTTAGAGAGAAGGTAGAGCTAGAATTTGGAAAGTGTAAGGAGAGAAATGAGGGTGTTCTACTAGGTTAGCTTACAATACTAGCACAAGGTGAAAAGTCAAGAATACCCTTACTTACATAAAGAAGTGTAAAGGAACAAGGGAACTCCTTACAAAGCTTAAGGTACAACCTTGACTTTGGGGTTGATTAGTCAATTACTAGTCCCCGACTATTGAATTTTCAAGATTTTTAGGAATTAAATCACCAATTGAAATAGGATTAATTACTTAATTAATCTCTTAAACGAATTCGGATTTCGGGGTGTCACAGGAGATTAGGAAAAACACAAGGCAAAAGTGGTGTTATATAGGGTCCAAAACCCTAGAAGAAATGTTCCTGATTGGTGGAGGGCAAAAGGGTAAATAGTTAGGCTAGAAGATGAAATTAGACAAGTTTTGGATGGTTTGTAGTCTACCATGCTTCATGGACCATGGGCTAAAAATGCTAACTATAAATACTTTGGGGTTGAAAATGAATTTTCTCAAAGAGCTATTTAGATGAACCCTTATTATTATTATTATTATTATTATTATTATTATTATTATTATTATTATTATTATTATTATTATTATTATTATTATTATTATTATTATTATTGTTATTATTGTTATTATTGTTATTATTGTTATTATTATTATTATTATTATTATTATTATTATTATTATTGTTGTTGTTGTTATTATTATTGTTATTGTTGTTATTATTATTGTTGTTATTATTGTTGTTATTGTTATTATTGTTGTTGTTATTATTGTTATTGTTGTTGTTATTATTATTATTATTATTATTATTATTATTATTGTTATTGTTATTATTGTTATTATTGTTATTATTGTTATTACTATTATTACTATTATTACTATTATTATTATTATTATTATTATTATTATTATTATTATTATTATTATTATTATTATTACTACAAGTGGCAAGACATATCAAATTATAAAATGGGTATACTTATAACTTTTTTGTAAGAAAAATTCAAAGATATGACGAAATTAACAAAAATATTTAAAATTATACATATTGATATACTAGTTTTGGTAATGCACAATGATTATTTTTAAATAAGTAATTCAAAGTATATCAATGCAAGATTATATAGGAGATATTCATGCATAGGTAATTAAATGTCGAATTTGTTTATTTAAATCAATAATTCAAAGTATATAAATGCAAGATAATATATATGAGATTAATAATTGTCACTAAAATAAATGTTTGCAATTTTGTTATAACGCTAGTCTAAATACTTAGTCCAAAAACAATAATCTAAATAAATACTACGTTTGGATTAAATTTCTCTAAGTCTTCTTAATTTTCTTTCCCTACAAGAAAAATGCGCATAGACAACGGATGCACATAGACAACGGCTATTAACCGTTGTCGTAGGGGTATACTTTCTGTTGTTGAAGCCGGTGTTGTTGTAAGTCCTGCGCATAGACAACGGTTTTTTAACCGTTTTCTTTTCTAGAAACAACAACGGTTTTTTAACCGTTGTCGTGTTGTTGAAGCCGGTGTTGTTGTAAGTCACGCACATAGACAACGGTTAATAACCGTTGTCTTTTCTAGAAACGACAACTGTTTTGTAACCGTTGTGTATTAAGTGTTGTTGAAACCGGTGTTGTTAAAAGTCACGCACATAGACAACGGTTAATAACCGTTGTCTTTTCTAGAAACGACAACGGTTTTTTAACCGTTGTCTATTAAGTGTTGTTGAAACCGGTGTTGTTAAAAGTCACGCAATAGACAACGGTTATTAACCGTTGTCTTTTCTACCAACGACAACGGTTTTTTAACCGTTGTCTATTAAGTGTTGTTGAAACCGGTGTTGTTAAAAGTCACAAAATAGACAACGGTTATTAACCGTTGTCTTTTCTACCAACGACAACGATTTTTTAACCGTTGTCTATTAAGTGTTGTTGAAACCGGTGTTGTTAAAATTCACGCAATAGACAACGGTTATTAACCGTTGTCTTTTCTATCAACGACAACGGTTTTTTAACCGTTGTCTATTAAGTGTTGTTGAAACCGGTGTTGTTAAAAGTCACGCAATAGACAACGGTTAATAGCCGTTGTCTTTTCTACCCAACGACAACGGTTTTTTAACCGTTGTCTATTAAGCGTTGTTGAAACCAGTGTTGTTAAAAGTCACGTACATAGACAATGGATTTTAACTGTTGTCTTTTCTTTAAAAGACAACAGTTATAAACCGTTGTCTATTGGGTGTTGTTGAAACACCCATAAACTGTTGTCTTTTGTACAAAAGTCAACGGTTTCTAACTGTTGTCTATTGTAAAATAGACAACGGTTTTTAACCGTTTTTCACCTGCTTAAATTATAATCGTATAAAAAAAACAATTTATCCATTCATCATATGTTGCAAAGTGTAATTACATAATTGTGCACAAGCTAATAAGGTTCAAAATAACAAGTCAAAAGACTTAATACTACTACACAAAAAACAATTTCCCGAACCAATTCAAGTCCAAATGATCACAACGTTCGAATGACCAAATCATACCTCTTTGTCATAATCAACTTGTTGAAACTACATGTAAAAAGTAAGAAAATAAATTAGTATAGATATAAATAATTTGCAATGAAATGAAACTGCCCTCTTACTCTCACCACATTCATACTCAAGCTGTTCATAACAAGATAATGAGTTCCCTAAAGAGAATCATAACAAGTGTAGCCAACAAGTAAAGAAAGACACTTGAAAAAGCAATACAAATGCACTCCCCAAAAAAAATGTTAACAGATCAGATACACATGATTCAGGTTCTTGTCTTAGCTAGCCTTCAAGTCTTTGGGAGATTACTAGACACCCAAATTTGATAAACGATTCAGATAAAATCTCATGAGAATATAATGCTTGAAACTTAAACACAAACGACAAAGAAATCCCTTATTAACTGTAAAAACTTAGATGCTAGTGAGGGCTTTTCAGATCAACTTGTAATCACTTGGTTGAATTGATGTTCCTTCACAGTTTTCAACTTTTGGATTGCACTTAGAAAATAATGGCAGAGACCATAGTAGTAAATAATAGAAAAGGAAATAAGCCAGAAATTGACAAAAGGCTTGAGCAGAACTTATGGAAAATGATTTATCTAGTGCTCTTAAAACTTTATAACTAAAATATGAATGGAAGCTGAGTGATAGACCTTGAATATTGTTCCAATAGAAGAAAACTTGGACGACTTTGATGCTTCTTCAGGAAGTGGTGGAAATAAACCAGCCACAAATGAGCACTTTGAAGCTGTTAACAGCTCCTGATGCTCTGCAACCACATAGTCTTTGTTCTTCTCCAAAAATAGATCTACTTGATAAGTCACCTGTAGGTTATACAGGACAATCCAGCATCACACTGGCAAAGAGAATTATGAGTATTTGCAACTAAGAAGGAACTCTTGGTTACCTCCCCTACATAGTGTGATATTGTAAAACTAGTACGAGAAAGTTTGGGTTTGATGAAGCGTTTGTTTTTCCCAAATGTCTGGTACAGTTTTTGAGAAAATGTTTCATGAGTTGATTTGGGGAACATGCTGCAGAAAGAAATATACTGAGTACCTGAGCATAAAATAAATAAAATATTGTAAACCCAGCCTTCTACATATTAAATAAAACACAAGGGTTCTAAGGTAGTGAATGAACATACCAAGCTTCATCTAAGAGTGCAACTCCAGGTTTCTGCAAATTGTCAACTCATTATAATTTGAAAGTAACACCTGGCTTCAGAGCTAACTATGTGGATTATCATGTATTTAATAATTGAATACCTCATATGGTGTCAGACCATTAATGTGTTTTTAAAAATATTAAAGAATCTGCCATAAAAAATGTAATGAAGGTGTGGTTGCAAACCTTCCCAATGAGATCCTGCACATCTTGGTTATCAACAAACTCAATGTAGCTCCAGTTAATCTCTTCCTTTTCATATTCTTCTTGTTCCATCTTAAATACATGCTGCAACCATGATAACGATGATTTTAAGTAATAAAAAAAATGACTATCCAAGAGCTCATTATTGGCCAGAAAAGATCAGTATATTGGCTTCGGTGGAAATTTAGCTCCCATCAAGTTACATCATTACTTGCAAAACTGTATTCTCTTTTTGCTTTTATTCCTGAATTGGTGAAGCTTTTCATAAGGTGTCTAGAGAAGTTAAAACCATTTTTTGCACAACCATGGGAGCTACAACAACTTCTATAAGATCAGCATTCAAATTGTTGCTAGGCGGAATTATATTAAATACAAGCTTAAGTTTTGTGCCAATCTATAACTGAGTAGTTTATAAGAGAATAGTAGAAATATGACTAAAAAATAAAATCAATACAAAAAGCTATATGTATTCTTTGTTTCCACGTTTAGAATCTCAAAGACTCTCACAGATAATCATCAAGCTGGATAATTGAAAAGCAATTACTGAAAACACAATAGTATAAATATTCAGTCTAAAGCTTATTAAGCATACATTTACCTGTTCAGCTGTGAGTAATTTGAATGTTTAGTGTAAAGATAGGGATAAAGAAACCATCATCACCATCAACCGAACAACCTCCGGTCAGACGAACAGCAGCTCAATCATCACGGCAGACGAACAGCAGCTGGGGAAAGAACGCACAAATTTAGTTTGAACCCAAACCCAAAATCCATCATCTACTGTCTATCACCGCCACTGCCTATCAAACAACGCACAAAGCTCAGGAACAATAATTGAAAAAAGAAATTACCGCTGTTGGTTGAACTTCCGCGTGACCGACGCTGTCTATCATCGCCGCACAACGCCCTACTGTCTATCACCGCCGCTGTCTCTGCCATTCTGCTGTTGCTGTTGTTGCTCCGCCGTGGGCAATGGGTCGGCGACAAGAGCATTGTGACCGCCGCCGGCTGTGACCGGCGTTGAGGAGCTTCGTCACGGCGTTGGAGAAGCTGGGGTTGAAGAGCTTGGTCGCGGCCGGTTGAGCGTCGTTGGAGAAGCAGGAATTGGGAATTGAAATTGAAGAATAGCCCTAAATTCAGAGGGCTTTGTTTTTGTTTTGTCTTCCTTAAGTGTTAATGAAAATAATGAGATGGAATTTATTTTTTGAGAGGGAAGGAGATTGTATTTTACAGAGTGTGCAAGGAAATATTTTTTTTTTGAGAGGGAAAGAGATTTTTGTAAAGTGTGATAGTTTTTAAAGTCAAATTTTGAAGAAGAGAGAATTTCATTTTTGATCTTAGATTTATAGGTAACAGTCTATTTGTAATCCTTTTTTATCAAAATATTCAATTTTGGTCCTAGTATTATTTCGACATGATCAATTTTGGCCCTAATATTATTTCGACATGATCAATTTTGGTCCTCTATCATAAAATCGTTGAAATTAAATTAAATTGAATGATATTTTGATATTTTTAATACAAAGTGCGTTGACCAGTTATATTTTTTATATTTATTTTTATGAAAAAAATCATAATTGAAAAGCAAAATGTCCTGTATTTAACGAAATTTCAATAATTTTTTTTATAAAGGACCAAAATTGGTCATGTCACAATAATATTAGGACAAAAAATGAATGTTTTGATAAAAAAAAAATTTAAAAGTGAACTGTCACCTATATTGGGACCGGGTCCATCATAACCCGGGTATATAGGTACATAACGGGAGTAAGAAAATAATAGCTTTATTACCTGAGGCACTAGACCCAAAATAGTAACGGGTATATAGGTACAGAACGGGGGTTAGAAAATAGTAACTTTATTATCTGGGGTGCTAGGCCTAAAATAGTACTTATAAAGTCCCAGGTACAGGCCCAGGCTGGCGGCCCAAATATAAAGATCCAAATACAAAGATCACGTCCCAATGAATGGGCTACAGCTAGATCTGTAATTGTGAATATAGAGTTCAATCATTATGAATATGAATTTCAAAAATTATGAATATATAGTTCGATAATTATTAACATAAAACAGTGTGCACCATGCATGGTGCACACGATTGCACAGCATAATTTGCCCTTGTTACAAAGATCGCGGCAAAATAAATGGGCTATAGCTAACTGTACGACATTAACTACTCTTTCATATCCATTCTCCACATGTCTCATGCATGCCGCAAGGGTCGATTACCAACATATAACTAACCTTGTTAGTCATGCGTTAGCCGGAATGGTCGATTACCAACCCAGACCCCTATCATACCGCCCTTAACACCTCCACACCATACAGCACCATTATGAACACCACACATGTAATTTAATGAATTGAAAATAAAACTTTAATGAATTGACATTGAAATTTTGGTGAATAATTTTATATTTAAATATGAACGAAAATAGAACTATTAAATTAACTTTTGAATTGTATTATTTCTTTGTTAAATTTTTATGCATTATATTTGGACAAAAAATGTAATTACATTTTTATTTTTGTTCTAGATCTTCTAATTAAACATCTATTTTCATCTCGTAAAAAAAACAATGAAGGTCCAAATTATAGGTAAAAGATAAGGTGTAACACTTTAATAAACCAAATTTGGTGTGGCTTGGTGGGTTTAGCTTTATTTGTTATGTTAGAGGTCTTAGGTTCTATCCTTAACTTATATTTTATACAATCATTGTTTTGGTTCTCAGAGACAACACAGAACCAAACTCGTTATATATTAGATGTTGCGTTTAAATATATAAGTGTTGGTGTGGCTTGGTGGGTTTAGCTTAGTTTGTTATGTTAGATTATGTTAGAAGTCTTGGGTTCTATTCTTCCTAGAGGCATCCCTAACCTAGTTTATAAAATTGTTGTCTTGGTTTTCACAGACAACACAGAAGCAACCCAGTTATATACCAGATGTTGCACTTTGGTACATAAGAGTTTGTGTTGCTTAGTTGGTTAAACCTTATTTGCTATGTTTGAGGACATAGGTTCGACTCTTGTTGTTAACATCATTGTTTTTATTTTATACAACTGTTGTCTTTTATAAAAAACGACCAAAGACAACGGTTAAATAAAACCGTTGTCTTAACAAATAAAGAACGCGCAACAACAACGGATATATAAAACCGTTGTCGTTATAGTGTTGTGTATTCAAGTGCTATTAAAGACAACACATAAATGACAACGGTTAAATAAAACCGTTTTCTTTTATAAAATAATAATGCGCAAAGACAACGGTTTTAAAAAACCGTTGTCTTTGTAGTGTTGTGTATTCTAGTGCGCTTAAAGACAACACACCAACGACAACGGTTAAATAAAACCGTTGTCTTTTAAAAAAAAAGCGCACAACGACAACGGTTAAATAAAACCGTTGTCTTTAAAAAAAAAAAAGAGCGCACAAAGACAACGGTTTTTTAGTGTCTTTAAAACCGTTGTCTTTCTAGTGTTGTGTATTCTAGTGCGCTTAAAGACAACACACCAACGACAACGGTTAAAAAAATCGTTGTCTTTTTAAAAAACAAACGCACATAGACAACGGTTTTAAAAAACCGTTGTCGTTGTGGTGTTGTCTTTTCATAAAATACACAAAGACAACTGATGAGGACGTTTTTCACGCATCCATCAAGTATCAAATCACAGTATAGAGTTTAGATATCGTTCCACTGGAGATGGCTCTTGTAATGTTAGGAATTGATGCAAAGTGGAATTAAGCACAAGCTAAAACTATTCTTTTAGAAGCTAGACCTATCCTTAAAGAGTTGGTTTGATATGATTAAGCTAATAATAAATAAGACAAGTAAAACAAAGGACCGGGACGTACTTGGTTGATTCAAGCTAAGATGCCAAATATTGTACTAAAGATTAGGGAATTAAACAAGGCATAGGGTAAGTGAGATGCACAAAAGTGTCCAAATACCACTCTCGTAGCTATTTGGACTTGCAACCTAACCTTAAACTCCACTCTCGTGGCAATTCAACCCAAGGTTGCCCAAGCAAGAACACAAGGCATAAATTCTCTTTAATACCCGAAATACTCTCGTATTGGGCATTAAGTGTGTGAATGTGTGGCTAGTGTACAAGCTCTACCCTCATAGCAACAAACACACTCCAAATCAAGCATATAATTAGGATCCAACAATCATACACAAATTTCTCAGCAAACCCATTTCACACAACAACCCTAGATCACCCAAATAATCCCCTTTATGCAATACAACTCAAATAGGCATCAATAGCAAGAAATCAAACCAAATCCTAGTCCCAAAACACTTAGCTACTCATAATATAACAATAGATACACAATATTAAAGGAGTAATTGAAAGCATAGATGAAAAGTAAAGAGAAGAGATAAATAGAAAACTTCTCTATTGAAGTCTTGAAATCCAAGAGTTGCAATGTTCTTGAGCTTGGAAATGGAAAGGAACCATAAATCTACACTAATCTAAGCTATTCTAAACTAACCCTAACAAGAGAAATGAAAGGTAAATGAAAGATGTAATGAAAGATATGTTTTGGGGTGGAAAAATCCCCTTAAAAGGGTAAAAAGCGGGCTGCAAAAAGTTGTAGAGGGCTGGCCACGGGTGTGGCTTCACCCGTGGCCAGAAATGCAGGGCACACTGCCCAGTGGCCACGGGTGTGGCCACGGCCGTGGCCAGACCCATGGCCACAGGCAGTGTGCACTGCCTGTGCACTGAGATCGTCTTCTAGGCCAGTTTTCACCCTCAAAACCTTTGAATTAGCCTTTGGTGCTTGAATCAAATTTGTAGCCCTTCAAGTTTGCTTGGTTTGGACATTCCTACGCAGAGATATGATCAAAAAACCGAGCAGTGGACGATTTGTGCGGAAATTTCAACTTCTTGCTCTTTTGCTCCACTTTTGCCTTTGTTTGTCCGAATGACCAAGACCAATAAACACACCATAATTTGGCTCTCTAAAAGGTGTTTCTCCATCTTCATAGCTTCTCATTGACTCCCATTGACTCTACATGCATCCAAAATGCCCCAAAAATCACTCAATTCATCTAAATCATCAAGAATTACTCATAAGCACACAAATGAATCAAATGAGGATACTTCGGACAAAATTATAACAAATAACAAGGAAAATAAGCTTAAATTCAATGTGAAATTATAAACTTTTAGACTCTTATCAACAACACACTTATAACAACGGTTAAGTAAAAACCGTTGTCTTTGACAAAAGTGTTGCATAAAAAACAACGGTTTTGGACCAAACTGTTGTCTTTTATACAAAAGACAACACTTTTCTTAAAAACTGTTGTCTTTCTAGTGTTGTCTATGTGCATTTTTCTTGTAGTGTTTTGAGTAGCATTGCTATTGCCTTCATTTTCCTTTTTATTGGTAATGGGTGTCATGTGCAATTGGGTTATTGGTGGTTCCACAGAGGGCAACGTCATGCAATGAAATTATGGTGTAGGAGGTTTTAGATTTGCCTTGTTGTGTATATGAATGAGATCTTAGCTGTACTAAGAACTAGTATCTTGCAACCGCATGTTGATATATGACAATTGTAGCTTTTTCTCTACATGTTTCATGCATGTGTTGTGAGATGTGTGTTGTAGATTATCATGTGAAAGTATTGATCAAAATATTAATATTTATTATATTTTTACAAAATACTTGATAAAAATATATATAACATATTTTGTATTATAACTTTGATATTTAATTACAAGATAGTGTAAAAAGAAACAATGGACACTGCAGTAAATATAATTAATTAATGAATTTGAAGTTATTGAATCTTTAAATTGTAAAAAAATAAAGATAATATAACTAATGAAATTATTTCTCTTTTCAAATTTTTTTATAATGAATAATTTTTTCGAATAAAGGCATTATAAAATATAAACATCTAATTATGAATTAATTAAATGCATATGTATTATTTTTTGTTGTAACTACTAATTTATTTAATTTATTAAGAGTAATAAAGTGGAGTACTTAGTTTTCATACAC